ATGGTGTGGCTTTTCTGATCTGCCTGGCCTATATCATTAGCTGTAACAAACACCCAGAAGCAAACCCAATATTCCTTGTAGAGTCCTACTCTCAAAAGGATGCTCTTGCTTTATTCTGTCTGCAGTGTGTTTCTGCATATGCAGCCATAGACCTCTCTCTCTCTCTTCCACTGAATATTTGAGTTCACGGTGATTTTTGCAGGTACATTAACTGTATTTTTCACAAGTTGAAACTCAACTGTCTCCAAATCTCCATAAATCTGTTTTTTCATGACACTGAGGTTTGTTGTTCCTTTCAATTTAATTCAGCTGCAAACATTATTAATGTAGTATTTCACAATGGTAAATATAATGGAGATACTGAAGATAAAAAAGAAGTGGGGAGATAATGACATTTACAGCATAAGGATTTTATGAGGAGGGATTTCCTCACCTTGGGTTACCCACAATTCCCAGTTCAAGGCTGCCCTGACAGCATGGACTTGAATGCAGATCTCACATCTGATGATACATGGCTCCTTAACAATGCACTAAAGGAAGTGTGTGTAACCCCAATTCAATTAGCATATTATCTCTTTTTTTTTTTAACCAGAAATTTCATTCTAGTACTGAAGAAATCTAATTTACTGTTCACAATGCATTTTTCTCACCTGAAGACATCTGGCAAATGAATAAATTAAGCTTTGAAAAGAGCCAGCAGCAAGACTTTTAATCAAAGGCAAATGAGTAACATTAAGTGCATTTTGGCTCATACTCCAGGATTACAAGTTGCTTGGATAAGCATCTTTTTCTAGTTTCCCAAGTTATGTCTCAGCGAGCACTATCTGAAAGTAAGAGCAAATTGTTCAAATGGAAAATATAAGATTGTGACAATAAATGTTCAAACTGAAGGTAAATATTGAACTATTTTAATTCTGAGTAAATGGCATAAAACTCAAGCACAGCCATAGCGTGTCAGATAAAAGTTCAGCTAGTATCCTGTACTGTTTCTGACAGCACATGATAACAGATGCCTTAGGAAAGTTTGTAAGAACGGGACAAACCAGAAATACTGTATTGGTATTAAACAATCCAAAATTAATTTTCCTGCTGAAAATTTATCCAATTGCTTTTTGAACAGAAATAAATGTTTAGTACAAGTCCTGTGATGAGGCATAGCTTACCAACAAGGCACATGCAGTGCAATCCCTTCTGTTTCTTTTGAGTGATCTCCCTTTTTGTTGCATTTAACACCTGCCAGTCCTTCCATTGGAAAGAGTGAACATTTCTGTTGCCTCCTGCCTGTTCAGGGTTTTCTAGACCAGCTCAAAAGTATAGAAATAATTTCCCCAAATGTGCTATGCTGGTGCAATGGACAATATTTTTTCAAAATTTTATCCCATACCTGTCAGGTTCCCCCACTACACACCATTGATTCACTGTTTCATACACTAGAGCATCAACAGGGATAATTTTGCCCGAGCCTTTGACACAAACCAGTTTCCCAAATAACTTGTTTGAACAGAAGGGAAAAAACATCAGCTCTTGCTTTTAATCTTTGGATGCATGCAAAATCTACCAAACTTTTGCACAAGGCTCTCTTTGTCTCTAGTTTCTGCTTTTTCCTTTTGCCAGGATAAATAGTTTCCCTGGAGTTTGGCACACAGCCTGCCATTTGGTTGTGGCACTAATATTGCTACCCAGGAGACCCCTATCATGAAACAGAAAGAAAAGCACAAGAAAAAAATTAGCAGAGGATCCTGTTATCAGGCAACTTGGCAATATTTTCCTTAACTGTAACCTTAACAGAACTGAGCGCTATATAATGTTAGGCAGCTCTCTCCTGTCATATCCATCAACATTAAATATTTTAGGCTTTCTGGATTCACACACTCTCGCTATCCTGCAAACATGAAACAAAGCAACCACCTCTCCAGTTCTGTGATGTGAACTCACTTTTCCCCAAAGGAAAAAAAAAAAAAAAGATGGGGTGGAGGGTTAGTCACTCCACTTAAAAGAAATGTTACATCACTCCAGTCATCAGCATCAGGGCGTACACCTTTTAATCTGGCAGTTCTTTGATGGCGTAATGCAGACATGTACCTAGGAGCTGTAACCAGTGGGCAGCTAAGTCATGACAAGATGATGGTCAGGAGAGAAAGCAGCACTTGGAAGGGCAGGAGGGGAACAGGAAGGGCTGTGGGCAGGGAACGAGGGAAGTCAGTAGAGCCAACCAGAGATGACTCTGCTGTCATCCCCCAGCAGCACCTGGCCTGGGATCACTTCAGCTCTTTCCCCATAACCTGCAAATTTCTCCACTGCCAGATGTCAGCCAGTCCAGGAGCTGGAGGTCTGTAACCCTGGACAAATACTGCAAGAATGATCTCTGGGAGGGGAAACAGAGTTGTTCTCCATCCCAGAAGCACTCCCATGCTTTCCAAGGGAGTGGAGGAAGAGCAAAGTTAATTTTATCAGATTTTCTGAGTTTCTGTTTACCTTCCACCATCAGCTCTCTTCAAATCTTTATGGGAATACATGGGTGTAAGCTGGTGTTGCAGGTTTCCAGATCTATGGCACTAGCCCAGAAAACAGGGTCTGGCTGCTTGACCCATGTTGGACTACTCCATACAGGAGGGTCCACACACCACATTGGCTAATCCTGAGCAGTGGAGCCAAAGTGTTGTGGAAGATTGTCTGGAAACTCAGTCTCCCAAAGAGAGAGCTGGGGGACTCCTAGCCTTCAGCCAAGTTTTTATTAGATTCTTCAAAATCAAATGTGCTTCTTTGTACTGCCTGGTAGGTGGACAGGGTCCCTGAGTGGCTGAAATGGGCAGTAAATTACAAGATCTTTCCACCTTGTGCCACTCCTGAGTTCTGCCTAGTCACAGGGAAGCTATCTATCAATGGTACTGAGTACAGCTGCAGTCTCAATGAACATAATGTTCCAGCCCTTGAGCACAACCCCCTTTACACACATCTTATCATTAAGCTTCTTCAGTGCATGGCAAGATGACAGGAGGAGCAGGTAAAGGCAGTGAGAGGCACCGTCTCTAGCAGGGTTAGTGGAGAGGAGCAGGTGTGGGAGGGTAGGGTGGAGGACAAGCGCAGATAAAGCTGGAAAGGACACTGAGTAGAAGTGTATAGGCCCTGGAATAGTATTTGATGTGCTGTGCGGAGTAACAGGCTGGATTATTTATGCCAGATACTGTTTTTGTGAAACCCTTTACTGTTCTGATTTCCCTTCCAGCCCAGCAAGCCTGCAGATACTGGGTTGTGCTGGAGCAGACCACTGCCAGAGCTACAAGGCATGCCAGGATCTGGTCCAGCTCAGCCTGATTTTCAGTAGTTCTCACTTCTTTTTAGTAACATTTTAAATTCAGAAAGTTCAGATGTACTACAATGATTTAATTACAAATAGTTTATATTGCAACATAAAAGCACTTTTAGTCCTCATACAAATTCAACCCTAAGTTTACAGCAGTGTTTACAGGCAGCTCTACTCAACTCCAACATTTGAATCCTTTCCAAAAGTGATTTACATTCAAGAATACTACAGCACTTTGCTTTAACAAAGCTATAGCTGAACTTGGCTGACACCTCCAGCTGTATGCTTAAGCTGTCTCAGTCTTGAGTTGAATCAGTGCCAGTGAGCAGCTACATTAAGTAATAGATATTTTAGAATTCCTGCATCATGTCATCATTTATGTCTTTTCTGACACTAAGTTGCCTCCAGTGCACCCTCCATAGTTACTGTGTTCTTCTTTTCATGGTCTGGAGCCTCAAAGAACAAATAAATCAGGTCTTCCAAGCTCCCTCCCGAAAACTCACCGGTCATTGTTTTCAGCTCAGCACTGATTCCTCTACTAATACTTGTGCAGAAAAGAGTAAAAGGAGACAGAAGCTTGATATGATGAAAGGATGTAAGCAGTGGGATTTTAGGATGTAAGCACTTTCCCAAAACGGAAGGTGAATCCTGAAATAGAGTTTATATGGATAAAGGCTAGGTGGGAGTAGGAACTGAAACCGGGGAAGGAGGTTTGGAAAGAGATTGAATGGAGAGCAGGAAGTATCGTATGGGTTGTAATGAAAGAAGAAAAGGGCCCAGAGAAAAAGGGGAACATCTGAGTGTTCAGATAGCCCCTCGACACTGCCTTCCAAACTCTCTACATTCCTCTGCTGTGAAGTTAGCAGTGAAACCCACTGGCAAAGTGAATATCTCACCCTACATTTATGCCTCATCCAAGCAGGATTGATAATGGGCGTGATTCTGCCCGATAGAAACCTCATTTAAAAAAAAAAACAAACCACAAAAACCAACTAACAAACCAACCACTTGGCAATACATTGTAACAATGGTCCCAAGTCATGCATTCCCATTGCTAGTAAACACTAAATTTAAGTTTCTCTCTTTAGCTTTAGATTGACTCTCTTTACCTTCTGTGTGGGAGATACTTACATCAGATTCAGATGTTAATGCACTCACATTCTAATGTGTTTCTTGGGTTTTGTTTGTTTGTTTGTTTTATTTGCAACCTGTCAACAAATTAAATTGTCTAAGTTCAGGACAGTAAAACCAAAATAGGGCTTTAAAAGTGCATTTTCCAGAGTCAAATTACTTGAGGTCATCAAACCACTCACAGAAATGATGCCTACTCAGATCTTGCTGAGATCCTCTGTTGAATTTTACTGAGGTTTGCTCAGGAGTGAGCATTATGACGACTCTGCTTGGCTAGAACAAGGAGACACAGCATGTTGGCTTCAGCTGGGAACCATAGCATCTTGCTTCAAGTGCTTTGCAAGAGGAAAAAATAGTTAAGATCCTTGCAAGAATATCTGGGAATTTCACAAGGACCAGACCAAAAGTACTGGTAGTCTGGATCTTGGCTTGCATCCGCTTTCTGAATAGCCTTGGGATAGACTAATATCAATATCCTGGCTAGTAAAAGAAGGTTTATAGGTTTGAGAGGAAATTCACTGAGGTAAAGGTAGCTGTCTCATGCTGGTCTGTGATGTACTGCAGCCTAGCATGGAATGGCACAAACCCTGTATGGGTGGGGCTGCAGCGTACCCCCAAAAATGGGCCCTGTGTTGATCTTTGCCACCCCCTCAGGGAGCCGGAAGGTGAATGCCCGCAGCAGGCTGGCAAAGAAAATAAAGAGCTCCGTCCTTGCTAGATGCTCCCCCAAACACACACAGTGCCCTGCAGAAGGAAGAGGGGAAAGACAGTAAATATCTAGGAATTTTTCAGTTTCATAATCACTTTGTTCGTTCTTGTTATAAGGCGAGGGTTTTTTCTGTTCAAGGCCAAGATCATGAAAGCCACAGAACTAAAATTTTGTGAATTCTTTCTCAGAAAGATCCCACCCAATGTCATAGGTTAGGAGACACTAAATGAAAATCTCAATGAAAATCCCTCAGGTACCACCATCATTTCTTGCTTGACCTGGCAGAAAATTATTTTCCTTTTATGGGAGATGTGGAAATTCAGGGTCACACACAAAAATCTGCCAGCTGTTTGCACATACTTTCTTAGTGAGTTTGAGTCAGTGGATCAAAATTACTTAGCAATAGCATTTGCCATTGAACAAAGGCTTAGTGACTTTACAGGCAAAGCAAGAGGCCTACTGTTAATTTCCAAGGGTTCCTCATTGGAACCAATGGCATGAGCAGAACAGGAAAAAGCCATTTGCATTAAGAAACCACTTCTGGATGGACATCTAAGTGACTAGTCTGCTATATCAACAGAGAAACTAAAACAAAAACAACAGAGTAGGAACTTTACTGCTAAGTGTGATCTCTAACTGTTCATTGTTATCTTATTTCCTTCTTTTTCAACTGGATTTTCAGTTCTGTAAGCAAGAACTTAATCCTTTGTTTGCCAGGATGCATTCTGCTTTTCTTTCGGCTTGTTCCTTTAAAAGGGATTGCAAGTAACTCCAGTACACACAAGACACATTGCTTGTCAGGGAAGAAAAGTACATATAAAGAATACTACAGACAAAACCCGTGGATGACTGCAGCATGCAACAAGCCTAGGAGGTTCAGGAGTTTGAGTGGGACTCCCACTACTGTGTCCTAAGAACAGTTTGAGGTCAGACAGCACAGAAGCATCTCCCTTGGCAGAAACAAGCCAGTACTGTTCTTTAAAAGCAGCAAACAGCAGAGATAGATGATGTTATCTGAAGAAATACCTTAGTCTCACACTTCTGTATTCTTCATCTAATCTGCTGGGTCGGTTCAAACTGTCAGTGCATTTACCTGCTGAGAATGGTAAGAAGGCTTCTCGAGGTACAAAGTTTCCTTCTTTATCCAGAAAATGGCCAGGGTTGAACTGTCGAGGTGTCTCCAATTGCTCAGGGTCGTACAGAACAGATGTTATATTTGGCATAATGATGGTGCCCTGCAAGGAAAAAAATGTTGATTCAGTTCCAACTACTAGCCTCTTACCCATCAGTTTCTACCTGGTGGATAAAACTACTGCTTGTTGCCATTTCTTTGTAATGAACAGATATGATGTGGTTAGAAGGCCATTTTCCTAGAAAATTTGATTTGTGATCATGTTCTGAGTTGGAAATTATCGGTTCTCAGCCCTTCAGCTATGTCAGTGGGTCTTAACAGCATTAGTGATGTTGGTACAACTGCATTGTGACCACTTTTACTACTAATCTTAATAACACTTCTAGTAGGACTCTTTTGTTGATATGCAGGTCCCAGCATTGGAAACTTCCTTTCAGGCTTAAGAGACAGAAATGCATCCAGAAATAACTGCAATACTTCATTGACAACAACCTCTGAGCCCTGTTAGCAGTAGTACTTCAGGCTTTTTCTTTACTGGTTGTTCCCAGCAGACCAGTTCCTGTGCCTTAGCTACCTGCCTGTCAGAAGCAGACAGAACGGAGTGAAACCTTCACCACAAAATGAGTTAGGTGGGGCCAGTCCCAGATGCTGGTAATGGTGCTGGCCTCACCCATCTCTCTTGCAATAGAAACAACCAATTCCTGTTTCTTGCTACTGTTTTACAGTGAGAACTGGCACCCAGCACAGCTTATGTCACTCTAAAAAATGCCTTACTGGCTGTGACCAAGTGTCTTAAGCAGCATTTGGGAGCAACTCCCTCACTGTCAGCTGTAGCTGACAGTCTCTCAGTTGTTACAGATTCAGGCAGGTCCCTTAGCTCATGGAGTCAGTGGAACTATGAGCCATCCTCTCACAAGTCTTCCCCATCCCAGGAGTGCTGGCGGTGCCAAGTTGGGCATGGATGTCTTAACCAGTGTTTTGGCAAAACAGTTTCTCCTCTCAGTCCATCCCCAGCCAAGCAGAGCTGGTCTCTGCAGTTGTGCTGTGTTGATCAGCAAGGCAGGAGCTCAAGGCTTCTGTGGCAGGAGCAGGGGTCTTATCAGCTGTCTGAGCATCAACACGCTGAGTAAGAGACTTATTTCATTCCTGGAGCCACAAATGGTAACCCTTCCCCAGGCACTGTGTTCCTCAGTTATATGGAGAATAGTTTATAGATGGAAAACGGGTTACAAAGCTGGAATAAAAGCCAAATATCTCTCTGCTGAAGAAAGAACAGAGGTTGGAAATACGTCTGTAGCTTTTTGATGGGGAATCCTAGAAATATTGTGTCCCTCACACACTCTGAGCATGCCAACAAAGACAAAGTTGCTGAAGCGTTGGATCTCATGAACCATAGCATTTGTATAGGGCAGTTTTTCCGATCCTCATAGCAAATTACCTGGGAAGGACCCAAAACAGCATCCAGCTCCTTCTGCACTTTCTCTGTGGAGAAATATTCACCATTTCAGATGGGAAAATGCATAAAATACTTAACTGGTCTCTTTTCTTAGAGCAACAGGAAAATGTATTATTTCAACATAGTACATTAAGTCTATAACCTGTGATTTAATATGATTTAATGCCTGAGGTTTATATATGAAAATTAAAATAACCAGGAAAAAAACCCCAACGGTGTGGTCCAGAATCATAAGCAAGGGCTATACTATACTTATTCCATCTCTGACCTTTATCTTACAGAATGCTTGCTGGGTGTAGGGCAGGTCACTCAGCTCCAGGTTTTGAAGGTATTTAGGGATTGCTTAGTTTACCTCAAAATTTAAATCTCATTTGCAAAATTGACATAAATTCCTCAGATATTAACTCCCAGTGCAAGGGGTGACTTGAGCAGAGTTGGTCCGAGTATGGCAACATACTGTATGAACAAACAACACCTGAATCAGACTAAAACTTAGGATGCAAATATGCACTCAATGACACAGCCTTTTCAGCCTTGTACTGAGGCTGTGGGAATACAAGTATCTCCCTAGCTTTCAGTGCTTGAGCACAGCAGATGGAAGAGCCCCCAGCCCCAGGAGTACCAGAGTCTTCCTTAAACCCTGGCCATATCCTTTGTCTTCCTGACATAGAGGTGGATGAGGAAACTCAGCTGGGATCTACGAGGTATTCACATAATTGGTGTTAATTAGATAAGCAATCTCTTTTGCGATATTATCTCAGACAGGGACAGTTTGTGTGTACTGCCAGCAGCTCTTGACTGAAAACACCACTTCTACATATCAGGCAGCCAGAATCCTCCCTTAAACTTCTTTTTCTGCTACTACAGTCTTTCCATCCCTTGTAGATGTTCCACATTCATATTTTGTTTTCTCCTAAGGTTTGTGTGCTGCTTTGTGAACAAACTGCAGCAAACATTACCAGTTATTTAAAGACTAGTTGCTAACACTATTGGCTGGTTACAAATAGAATATGTTCTACTGAAACTTTGAGGCCACCCCTGAGCAACCCATATTCCACAGATGCCCACTGCCTAGCCTTGTCCATCAAACACTCAGCAAAGACAGAAAGGAGTCACTGCATTCTTCAAGGAAGTACATGGATTTGCACTGTGCAAATTATCTTGCATCTCTCTACCTGTTTCTTGACAAGAAAGACAGGAAGAGGCAGCCATCTCTACCAGTACCATGGGCCTTCCTCAGGGCAACCTGCAGCCCTTCATAACCTGCCAAGATCTGTCCAGCTGGTTTGTCCAGTAAGGGCTCCAGTGGGTTGTTAGGAGTATTGGTGTGCTCAGCAAGGAGTGCTAAGTCAGGAGGGGAAGAGACCGTAGGCTGACTGTGTGGCAAACACAGCAAAGTTGTGTTAGCACTCCTCATACCTGAACAACGTCTGGTGCAGACAGGACTCATATTAGAGCTCTGATCTCTGTTCCTGCTGCCATCAGTCAGCCTGCAAACTCTCCACACAGAGCACCTCACTGACTTGTCACTGCAAAGAGCTAACTTTTGTCTCACCGCAAGTGCCTTCAGCCACCTGGTTTGGTCAGGTCATAGGATGGGCCTCCAATTTTTTCCTTTGCTGCCACTCTTTGTGTTTTCAGAGAGTGAGAGCCAGGCTCAACTAGTGGCTTTTGTGTCTGTAACTCATTATATTCAGCCATCATTAGCATTTGTAATACCCACAGCATTTCACAGCAAGAATCCCTCTCACCTTGGCTGTCTGGGTTCACTACCATATAGAGCAGTCCCCAGTACAATGTTGTGCTTGAGGTCTCTGATCCACCGAGAAAAAGATCATTTATAACATATACCAAATTGTCTTCATCATACTTGGGCTTGATCCCATCTTTAGACTGTAGATGATGATAAAATGTTGAAGTTAAAGCATATAAAGCATAAGTTAGATCATCCTGTACACCTCCTGTGTGAGAGTCCTTATTTCCACAGCTGGCATGTGCACAAAGAATATTCAAAATTACAGTTTTTGATGAGTACTAAGAGATTAATAGTTTCCCAAATAGACCTGGTAAGTCTGCATTGCTCTTTTTCATGAGGTAGAATATTCTTTCATTAAAAAAAACAGGTAATTTTATGCCTGCTGACTTACTCGCGAAAATTTTCAAAACATAACACAAGTTTTGCAGTTAGCCTAAAGTGTACTTCTAAACAAGTGCCCCACAATGTGTCACTCAACAGGCCTTGGTCTCTCCAATATTCTATCAAATGGTGCTAGCAAATACCAAAGGAAAACCTATCTGAATAAGAGAGTCTCAACAGAACACCTTGAGAGTAATTTCTTCTCTCAGTTCAGGATAGATGTGAACTGGTGGGAGAGAGGTACCCAAGTCTTTTCTTCTTATAAGGAGGGAGTAAAATATAAAAAGTTAGAGAAAATACATTTGGCAAAAACTTTTTAAAATAAACAGATTGCAATAACTTGCACCCCGACACCAGAGAAAGCTGCATCTTTGCCTTTAAAATGCTTATTTTAGTAAATCTTGTCATACTCATTCAGATATAGTGTACAAGCAGATGTATCAGCTCCTTCCAGAACCCATGAACCAACACTATGAGAACCTGGCAGCCTGACTAGCTGAAAGCTTATGACCAGAGGTAGAAGCTACATAAATTTCATCTACCCTAGGAAAAAGATGCTTCTTTTAGTTTCCAAAAATATCCAAAAATGACTAAGTTCAAAGCAGAAACTCTGGTGCACTTAGCAGATCCTCTCTGGCTCATGAGTCGTTTCATGCTATGGAAAATAATAGCCTGGGCAGCGAAAAAGTTTAACAGCTTATTATGGCATTGTTTGTGAAATTGTTTCCTAGGCTCTCCAAGCCAACCATGCCTCAAACTTTGGGGAAATTAGAGGTAACACAGGGACAATAGGCTTGGGACCTCCAAACACATCCCATTTAGGACCTACTGATGACAGCATCCATCTGCCAAGAGAGCAGACTGGTGTGATGCATAAAATGCCTATTCCAAGGTTGATCAAATAATCAAGTAGGCTGGGATCGCTGAGGTTTAACTGCTGAAAGGGCCTGGGCTGGAGGTGGAAGGACTATTCTCTTTTTGATGCTGCAGGAATGATACCAAGGGATTTCAGGATAGCCTGGGAATCCTTTAAAGAGTAGAGAATCTCCTCAGACCAGGACCTACAAAGAGTTTTCAGTAAAGGGAAGATCCTCCACGAATGGTTCCTTCCCAAGGGAGGAACTACACAGCTGTGTGACACAAGGACAGCCAGTGTTAGGACACATGCTGAAACCCAAAGAAGCATGTCAGCTACTTCAGGGTAATTATCTATGCACGTGTATTTAAGCCCCTTGTAAACATGAGGTACCCTGATGTAGATGATGAGGTGGTCTACCAAAGTTATGTAACGTACAGGCATAAACTGTCTTGTATTTACAACAGGATTGAAGTATACACATGGGTATTTATGGAAAACAGATGATAGCTCATGAGTTCACACCCTAACATACTTTGCAGTAATTCTTTCATGTAACCAAAACATAAAACTGGATGCCTTTCTGGGAGGCATGAGTTAGTAAGCCCCAAGCTACTGTATTCACATTAAGAAGTCTGTGAAACATAAGAAACTGTGATAGAAGGAGTCAAGCTGGATGATTTAATGGTCTATTTGGCCTTATACTGCATACATGTGTGATCAGGCAGAACTAACACTTACTTTCTCCATCTCAGGCAGGTAAAAGTCAATGAAATCCTGTGGTTCATCTGGTATCCCTCTCTCCACATGTCTTCTGATCTTCTTCCTTGCAAAAGAACTCAGGACATCATAGCAAGATAACACTTTCGTATGAGGACCAGGAAGACGGCACATCAGCCAGGGGAAGATTTCGTACAGCTGCGGGAGTGACATACAAGGTGAATTATTTGTCAGTAACAAATCTGCTTTTTTAGAAACACCAAAAGGCTGAATTGTCCTGTCTGGAAATGTTGATACTGGAATAAACAAATTAGCATTTCTTTGAATTGATTTTTGCCATCATGTGGGAAAACTTTACTAGTAATTTTTACACAGTTCTGGGGGTCAAGGCAATACTGACAACACTCTGCTCATGCCAGTAAGTTTACTTGACTAATGCAGATCACTAGAAGACCTTACTCCTGCACAGTTGGAGACCCTAGCTCCCACAACTCAAAACATAAGGACATCCTTTCTGGATACTGTGTGGCTACTAAGATTAACAAGTCTGCAGCCTCAAGAAACTGGTGGAGTTTGTGGAGTTCACAGAAGGAAAGTGTAGACTGGGTATCACTCTAAGTGCTAATTTAATTTTCTGTCAGAGTCCTTGTGACTCCTACATGACCAATAATTGTTCGGATGGCTAGAAATATTACATCTTCAGTCTGCTGAGTGTATTTATACACACATTTGTCAGCACAAAGTATTGTCCTCTAGCTTGGATAGTTCTCTCTTCACAGCATCTGCCATTCCACCCTGCCAAGCAAACAGCATTTCTGTCTGTATCTCCTCTCTTTGTTCTTTCAGACCTAACAAGCAAAGTCTCTCTAATTTTAAGTGATAGTTTGTAGGTCATCCCATTAATACTTCTCTACATTTGTTTCATGCCAGACTCACAACATAAGGTGTCCAAGACCCAAGAATAGGTCCCACAGATTATTACACACCAGAATGTACTTCTCTGGATCTAAAGGGAAAATAGTGCTGGAAACACTCTAAGATTCTGTTTGCCTTTTTTCACCCTGTTATCTGCTAGTTTACACCAGTCCCTTTCCTCTTAGCTTTTGCACTGAAATGTTCTAAGCTCACAGCAGATATTAATCTCATTAATTCCTAATATATCTCATAATTTAATTTTGTACTATTACAGTTTGTTCCATTTTTATACCTCCAATCCATAGTGCTTATGAGCTCTTGCAGTAGGATATCCTGAACCTCCTCTGTATTGTTAAGTCTCCTGGCTTTGATCATCTACAGATTTAATCTATTTTTCTATTTTTTACTATGGGAAGGTTGTATAGTGCTACCCTCATATGATAGATTTGTTCAAAAGGTTTACTACCACATCAGCATTTTAGTTTGCCTTTTTCTATAAAATTTAAATATCAATGGAATTTGCTATGCCCCCCACAGTCTCCACTACACCCAGCTTGTCCTTCTTTAAGGGTCTAAGCCACAAAGTCTAATTCGTGGGGAAAACTTCAAGTGCACTTCAAGACATTCAAGTGCAAAGTTGGCCTTCATGGTATGTTGTGGGAGGTACCTACCAAAAAATCTCTGACAGAACTTTAATTGTGAGACTGTCAGAGAATGTATGTATTATTTTTGTAATGTGTGAATTGCAAGCTATAATGAAGTAATGGAAAGATTCATAATGAATATTTTATTATTTGTGAGGGAGGAAAAAAAAATTGTTAGCATACAATTTGCAGAGTAGTAAAAAGCAGAACAGTGAATTCAAAGACACCCATTTTTGGAGAAGTAAATAGAGGTGGGAGGAGCAGCACAGCAGAGTTCAAATTTATTAGAAACTCCAGTCTCAAATTAAGTTTAAAGGTTTCTGTTAACAGTCTCAGAAATGCTGAAAGACTTAAAGCCAGGAGTTAACAGAGAGATGTCCCCTAAACTTGCAAAGAAACGAATGTTCTTAAAAATGGCCTCAAAACCAAGGAGGCAGTAATAAGGTCCCCAAGGACACCTCTTAGCTCCCAGTTTGCATTTGTCAGTTGCTCTGTATTTAGTGAAGACCCATTTTTGTATCTGCACTTTCATTTTCTACCTATTTCAGAAAAAAAATAGCATATTATTTACTCACCTGATGAACAAAGCTTCCTGCAAATCTGAGTAAATTCTCCATGGCACTGATCAGTTCATGGAAGGTTTTGTCCTCATCAGAGAAGTGATATCCAAAAACCAGAGCACTAATTACATTTGAAATAGAATGGAAAAGAGGGAAAGAAGGATCCACAGGTCTTCCTGCAAACACAGTAACTGGTATTCACCCTCAATGTTTTCTTCAGGTGTTCGTTATACAGATAGGACAAGATGTTATTAGAGATTACATAAAATGTTCTCTTTATCCAGCTGGGGCATGAATGGGGATAGACATGTGGCATTAATATGTATTCATAAAAAAGAAACATAGTCTTAGAGCAAAGGACACTGTTAAGCTGTTTCCTAATAGCTCTAAAACAATCTCATAGCCCTTCCTGTGAAATAATGTTGTACAACTAAGATCCATTAGAGGATATCATATCAAATCTGCTGTCCTCAGTTATGTGGAAGAAGACAAGTCAGAATGTGAGAAGGAAGAAATGTCACTGGAGATGAGCTAAGAGAAGACAGTGACAGACGTTAAAAAATGTAAAAAACCTCATGGCACCTAATGTCATAGAAATTTAGAGAAATTACTAAGCTCTGCAATACTCTTTAGTTACCTATTGTAGGCAGACTGAGAATGGCTTGGCTGTGCAGTTCAGTGACATCATATCATTGTACAATCATATCATAGACAAACGATAAGCCCATGGAGATGGAATTCCAGAAGTTCCCAACTTCATTAGGTTTATGAACAACTTTTTAAGAAAGAAATTACCACTTGTGATATTATGCTCTATCTGCTCTTTGGGCTTTGGTAAGTTTGAATGTATCACCCTGGATGTACCCTGACCCTAGAAAGGGGTAGGTAAGTTTGCATACTGAGGATATGGATCCAGGACTGAAAAGGTCTGATTTCTTAGCAGATAGATACCTTCTAGGTTCACAAAGAACTCAACCAGGTGAGAGGCCTCCTCTTGCACTTGATACTCCAGGCCTTTTTTCCCCATTCCCAGACGCGTAGAGTCATTATACCAAAGCGCCTCTGCTGCTTCCAGGAGTGACCACTTGCCAATATAATACTTGAGGGTATTCCCTGGCATATTAATATTTGCCATAGACATGAACGATTAATTTAAAAATATATTATAAAATACATGGAGTAAATCAGGGAATATACCGTGATGCAAGTGTCTTTAGGTGAAATTATCAGTATCAGAAATCATAGCCAAACATACCCAAACTATAACTAGGCCACATGTTCTTGATATTGATTGTAGTTAATCTCTGAAAAGAGTGATCTAAGGATTTGCTGACTGCTCCATTTCTTGATGTCTTAAAAAAAAATAAACAACTTTAAGATGCCTTTTTAGAAGATCTGCTTTAGCCATACTCAAGTAATCATGCTCAAGACAGGAATAACTGGATTAATTTCTACAGAATGGTGTACAGGGCCAGGGTATGTTTATGGAGATATAGATCGATTAATGTGATGCTTGTAGATTGAGGTGATGAAGGTGAAGTATAAGTGACATTTGGGCCCTGTTTCTTCTCTGGAAGGGAGACAACTCCACTGATTGTTAAATTGCACTAGTGGTTACGTGAAGAGCCCTGAACTGCT